ATCATAAACATCCGCTCCGGGTTTCCAGGCAGAGCTCCGCTGCACATCCAGCTGATGAACCTGGACAGGGACTCTTCCCCGGTTCTAATCGAGGAGAGAACGGATTACACCATCAGAGTGGAGCCCGGTGAGGACGACCAGGCCACCCGGCTGCTCCAGTCCGGGGGCTTGTCCCACTTCACGGAGAACCCGGTGCTGTTCGCCTTGCTGCCCCTCATCTTTGTCAACAAGTGTGCCTTCGGCTGTAAGGTGGAGGTGGAGGTTCTGCGGGGGCTGTGGAGGAGCCCTGTGCCCCTGCTGCTGGGGGTTCTGGCCCAGTTCCTGGTGATGCCGCTCTATGCCTACTGTGTGTCCCGGCTGCTCTCACTGCCCAAGGCGCTCTCCCTCGGCCTGGTCATCACCTGCTCTGCCCCTGGGGGAGGGGGTGGCTACCTGTACAGCCTGCTGCTGGGGGGGGATGTCACCCTGGCCATCTCCATGACGCTGGTGTCCACTGTGGTGGCCACGGCAGCCATGCCGCTGTCCTCTGCTCTGTATGGCCGACTGCTGGGCGTGCACGCTGCCCTCCATGTGCCATTTGTGAAGATATTGGGGACCCTCTTGTTCATCGCTATCCCCATCTCCTTGGGCATGCTGATCAAGCTTCGCCTGCCGGCTCTAACCCGTGTCCTGCTAGTGCTCATCCGACCCTTCAGTCTCGTGCTCATGATCGGTGGCATCTTCATGGCCTACCAAATGGGTGCGTCCATCCTGTCCAACGTCCAGCCCCAGATTGTTGCAGTTGGGGTGACTGTGCCTTTGCTGGGCCTCTTGGTTGGTGCCATCCTGGCCAGAATAGCACGCCTGGCCATACCACAGATGAAAACGGTGAGCATCGAGGTGGGCGTCCAGAACAGCCTGCTGGCTCTGGCCGTCATGCAGCTGTCGTTCCGGCGGGTGGAGGCAGACTTTGCATCCCAGGCGCCCTTTATCGTGGCGCTCAGCAGCACCTCAGAGATGTTACTTATCGTCCTGGGATACTTTGTCCAGCGGAGGCTGTGCCGCTCTGCTGACCTCAGGAGTGACGCCTGATTGTAGCTGAAGAACTTTCCTGAAGACTGAACTTTAATGGGACGTTTGTACTGCCTTGAAGGCGACCGACAGATCGAGTCCAGTCATCACTGTTGTACAGCGGACAGTGACAATGACTTTTTGTGCTTATTTTAATGTTGTTTTTGGTATGTTTTTTGATGAAAACCAAAGGCCTTTTACCCCCCCAAGACCTTCTTGTGTGTCGGTCCTTTTTCAGATCAGATTATACTGTGAGGTATGTCGTGTTGAAATTCATAAGAAGAGAAAAGCCTATGACAGAAGATATTTTTCTACCAGACTACTTTTTGTAATCTTAAAATCAAAGACTGAAAATGTATCATGTTTACAAGTGATCTACGTGTCTTAGACTGGGAGGGGAACACCGTCGCTTCAAGAGGAAGCTCTCACAATCTACAGTATGAGAAACTTTTCAGAAAGTATTTGCCACTGATTGTGTCCTGGATGTTTTACATCCATGTACTTGAATATTTGCAAGTTATGAAAAGCCAATAAAAGTCCTTGTGAGAGCTTTAATTTCAGCTGTTTGTTTTCTAATGATCATAACTAGAAACTATCTTGTTTTCCTGATGGTTCTGCTTAGGCCTGATAACACAGTTTGGCATGATTCAGGATTGCTTATTTCCCTTTTACCCATGAATAGTCAAAAACTATTACACAACGCTTGTCTCAATAACAAAATGTGAACCGTTACAGTTTGCTTAAGTATTCACTCCTCCTAACCATTCTTTCCTTGCCTCCCAACCTCAAACTTGAATGTCCTTTATTCGGATTCTGTTCCGGACCAACACAAAGTCCAGAACTGAGGAAAAGTTCTTGATTCTTACAAATGAATGAAATTATAGTTTTTTTTTTCTTACCCTCCTTAACTATGACTTTCTTAAAACCAAATCCAGTGAAACAAACTCCATTAGCTGTGTGCCATTGAATGCATGAATGATTCAATTATTCTAAAAGGACATTTTTCAAATTTTTATTTTTAGAAAAAAGTGTTGGCGAAAAAATGGACAACTAATATTCCTTTTCACTTGTTTATCAGTCAAATTAAGTCCTAATGATGTAATATGTAGACAAAATGTATGACGGGGTGTGAATACTTTCATAGCTGCCCTGAAAAGAGACAAATGAGGATGTTTAATTTTCGCTAAACTTTGCATCTTAAGAACCTGAGTTTCTTCGGCTCACAGCCGAAAAAAAATGTTCTGTGAAAATGTTTCTAATTAGCTTTGTGTATTTAAGTCTTTTAAATGTGTTTTTTGTTGTTTTGCAAAGTGAAGGCCAACAAAACTGAGTGAGGAAGCAAACAACTAGAAAAGAAAGTAAAGAATTCCGGGAAGAGATGTGAGTTTACTTGAAAAGCATCATAAAAAGTTGTTTTCCAGAGTTTATTGGTGTTTCTCTAATTTGTTGCAACACGGGGCGAGGTCCATGTTTTATCAGCTCTCTGCTGGACGATAACAAGTCGCATAATGTCTAATCAGAACTCATGAGTTTCACAACAAGAGAGCAAAGCTTTATCTTCCCCAACCTTAACAGAACATTGGTTGGTTTCATGGTAGAAAACAGAACAGATTGGCTGTTCTGGTCTGAACTCTCTGGATTGTTTCTCAACTGTAATTCCTCCAAAATCAGCTCATGGAAAATTTGTCTGGTTTAGGAACCCAGCCCTCCGGGTCTCTCAAAATGTTACAGAGTCAGAAAGAGGAAGTCTGAGTCATGACACCTTGCTCCTCCTCCTCTGCTTTGTTTAGTGCATAAACAGGAGCATTGTCACCTAAATCATAGCAAAACAAGAATAAATTATTATGCACAACCTTGCTCTCTTTTGACAAAATATGATATATTATGATAGTAAAGTAAAACTTAAATTAACTTTCAGTTCCTTTTTATATAAAGGTAAAAGGCATCAGAAAAAATGCCACAGTGTCTAAGAAATACTTTATGAGGGGGACTGTGCTTTTTAAATCGACTTATTTTAACTATACTTTTCTGTTTTGTGTAGGAAATTCAGTCCATTTCCTGACAGAATGTATCATGTTGATAAAGGAGATTAAATAAAAGTAAATTTTCCCAGTCCTGTGGGAAACAGAGAGAGCAGCAAGTGATCATTTGAACGCAAAGAGAGGCAACATTTCTCTGTGTGATTTAATTACTTATGTAGGATGGCAGTGGTCCAAGCATACCTTTACCAAAACAAAAAAACTATGTCCCAGCCTCCTGGTGGACAAAAATGGCCATCCCACAGGAAAATGCAACTTACAACAATGGGTCAAGGTTCTACACACTGGAAAAAAATCTAAATCTAAATAAGTCATCTTTTCTTATTATAAGTACATTTTTTCTTGGATTATGGTGGTAAAAGAGAAATTTTGCCAATGGAACAAGACAATTTACACTTAAGAAAACACAATTGCATTGTCTTATGTAAGGTGCATATTATCTAAGTATCTTATTTTAAGAGTAAAAATACTCATTCCATTGGCAAACTATCTCATTTACCTACTCAAATTAAGGGTAAATACTCTTCATTTAAGACATTTTTACTTATTTCTAGATCATTTTTCTGGGGCAGTCAATAATAACCCTTAGAGAAGCATGATAAGCAGTCAATCTTTCAAAGATATTTTTGAGCTGAGGTGTTCTTTACTAACAGGTCTCAATGAGATAGATAAAAATGTTTGAGTAGCACCTTTCTCACCTCAAAAGAAAAAGTTTGTTTCAAAAATAAAAAAAACCCTAACTATCAAAAAAGTGAGGGAGTCATCAAGTAAAAAAAAATGTAAAAACATGATTAGGTAGGTAGATCATAGCTAATGTACCGTCTAATATATTTTGTTCCTTATTAACTCTACACGAATCCAGAAATATTAAACTTGGGATGTTTACACTCTCATGTATAATATTGTTGCTTTGTAACGTTCAATTCAGTTTTTTTATATAGCGCCAGTTCACACCACATGTCATCCCAGGCACTTTACAGTTCACCAGATCATCCAGTCAAATTGATTTAAAGTTTTCTATCTAAAAATAAACAGCTGATCGCATCGACTCATTGACTGGATGAAATCCCTCACACTAAGCACGCTTGTAGTGACTGTGGAGAGGAAAAACTCCCTTTTAACAGGAAGAAACTTCCAGCAGAACCAGGCTCAGTGTGAGCGGCCTTTTGCCGAGGCCGACTGGGGTTCAAGGAGACAGAAGCAGAGATACAAAAAGCAACAATCCAGGAAAGACACAGCCGTCCAGCCAAGCTCCGAGCCAGCTCCCATGTCGGAGGATGAAGAGAGCACATCCACCCCGTCACAGTCAAAGACACAGGACACTGGAAAAACAGGCCGATCTCCAACATCTATAAACAAGGGTGTTGATGGCAGCAGTAAAGCTGATATTTCTCTCCATGGTGGTGTCACAGTCAAACAGGAACAGACGAGGCGAAACTACTATGAGAAAAGGCAGAGAGGGCATAACGTTACAGAATAAACAAACAGATTCTGCAGAATGGAAGAATAGCGATAGAATGAAGCAAAATGAGGAAATAGGGGTCCCTATGTCCTCCAGAAGTCTAAGCCTATAGCAGCATAACTATAGAGATAGCTCAGGATAAACTGAACCACTCTAACTATAAGCTTTATCAAAAAGGAAAGTTTTAAGCCTACCCTTAAAACGTTCTTTGCAGAAACAAACTATTTAAAAAAGATACAATAATAATTGAAAAAAACATTTAAAGTATTTATATATTTTACGTTTTGTCACGAGCCAATAACAGTTCTAACTCTACATAATCCCAGAATGCTTTGGGGTCTTACCTGATTGGCTGAAGCTCCGACCAATCAGAGAGGGAAGCGCGAAGAGGGAAGACAAACATGGCTACCTCCTGTTGAGCAGAAAGAAACCAGTGTCCCCTAGGTGTCCCCTAGGACAGCTGTTAAACAGCAGTTAGGGAACTTAAATATTTTAAACATTCTCATTTCAGTCCGGATATTATTTCTGGGCCTATGTCCCTCAGTGGGTTTTGTGGGCCGGTGTCGCAGAAACGGTCTGTGTCCAGTCTTCTCGGTGAGTCGGTTTATTTAACTACTACATGCTAAATATCACTACAGGTAAACATGAGCGCTGTGTTTATTCATCTGCTCTCAGGCGACCCGTTTGTATTGTTCAGAGGGAGGTTTTTTCTGAACAGATGATGTTAGGAGATGGAAGATTTAACCTGTTTAACCCAGACCGATTTAGAACTAATTTCAGCCTGAAAATAAGTACATAATAACTCCTCAGTTATCAGGACTTGTAACATTTGATTCCTGTGTAAAAGCAACATCTTAATGTTTGTTTCCCTACACTTTAGTTTATTAGGTTCCTACCAAAAACAAAATAAAAATTTTGAAGTGTTAAAACATTTGCCTGTTTTAAGACTAAATTGATAAGTGTTGAATTTCACAGTATATCTATCTATCTATCTATCTATCTATCTATCTATCTATCTATCTATCTATCTATCTATCTATCT